CTTGTCCCTGTTAAGTAAACGTGGGTGTCTGCATGCTTGAAATACCCTTCGTGTCGGTGCGATCTGCTTCAAACGATAAGCATCCTACCATCTTATCTATACATTTTAGCACCAACTAACAAGACTGTTTGGTCCCTCAAACAGATGAACAAGGAAGTATGAAATATAATTATGTTTTTTAAAAGAAAACTTTTGAAAAGAAACCCTGGTCATCGTCTTATTATTCTAGGGAAATTTGCTATCACCCTATGGAGGTAGAAAGGATACACTCACCCATCAACATTACATATTCAGTAAAGACATATATTTTTTAAGGTTAAACATGCTGTGTAATGAAACTGGTATATAATTAATTTTCAGGGGACTGATTTTAATTTAGTTGAGCTAAGAGTATACTGGTTAAATACATTCCAAAAGAGTCACCTGAAGGAATTCCGCTTGTTACTCACAGGTAGAAGAGGCTTTCTTATCTTTCACGTAGTATGTTGTTTACTTTTTCATAGAAATTATTTATGTAAAGTATATTGTTTGATGTTTAGTAATGGCTTTTTACTATTGAAAATTGTTTTTCTAGGTGTTAACACTGAGGTGGACTTATTCTCTCATCTCTAAGAAAAAGGTTTCAAATGAAACTGTTAAAAGAGTATTAGTAATCTCTCTCTGGGTGGCCAACGTGTTGCTATAGAATAAGACCAGCTTATTAAATGTTGTTTGTTTGGTCTGGGTGAGGAAATGATACTGCTATCAGATTGCTAAGCTTCACAGAAGCATATACTCTCATAACTCTAAAATGTTTTTAGGTAACATTATTCCATTAAAATGATACTCTCTCCTTGTTAGGTAACTAAAATACTACCCAAAAGGGCAAAAAGAAAAAGCAAAAATTACCCAGTGACCCATTGCTCTTCACATTTTTCTGAACATCCTTTTAGAAATCTCTACACAGAAATTTAAAGGCATTTTACATAAAAGAACTATTCATGCTTGCTATTCTGTTACTAACTGTATCATCTAGATGATAAAGATGCCATGAACATCTTTCCATGTCAGCAAACATTAATCTATACACCAGTTGTAACAGTTATTATAGTATTCCTTTATGCTTTATAATTTGCTGTATTCTCTTTTGATGAATATTTAGGTGGTTTTCAATTTTAGAATGTTATCCACTCACATTTCAGTGGCTAGAAAGGTCCAGAAAGGCTGGTTGCTATGAGTGAATGGTGTATATCCCATAAATATTCCAGTGACTTCTAGTTATGTCATAAAATTAAAATCTACATAGTTTTCAGATGACTCTTTCATGATTGACACATATATAGACATGTATTTATGTACACACACTCAAATAGCAACGACTCCTTGGTGATACAGCCCAGTAACCCCTTGTTCCCGCCACCCTGGAGCCTCCCCCAGCAGCCCACTCCTTACGCAGTTTACATTTAAACTCCCAGTCTTGGAAACTCTGATTCCCAGTGTTTTTCCCACCTCCTTTCTTTCCCCCTCTGGAAAACTGTGCAAATGCTGATTTTTTTTTGCTGCGTTTGGGCCTTCGTTGATGCACGCGGGCTTTCTCTAGTTGCTACGATCGGGGGCTACTCTTTGTTGCAGTGCGCGGGCTTCTCACTGCAGTGGCTTCTCTTGTTGCGGAGCACGGGCTCTGGGCGCACAGGCTTCAGTAGTTGTGGTTCTTGGGCTTAGTTGCTCCTCCGCCTGTGGGATCTTCCCGGACCAGGGCTTGAACCCGTGTCCCCTGCACTGGCAGGCAGATACCTAACCACAGCGCCACCAGGGAAGCCCAATAATTTGTTTTGATGTTTCCCCATTCTTGGCAGATGTAGGTATTGACATTACATGTTAAACGAATGAATGAGTTTTAGGTAAAACATAACTTACTGCTCTTTTATTTTTAAAACGGGTGTTTTGTTTCAAAGTATTCATTCCAACTACATTATTTTCTGTTTTTTGGTTTTTCTATTTCATAACTTCTTTGGGTTATATCAGTTGCTCTAGGCTAATTTGGAGTTAAATCACCAGTTGATCACTGTGTTTATCAGAAAGCATATTCTGAATTCTAAAACTGACTTAAAGTGAACTTTGGAATACAACTGTAAGAGGGGGACCTCCTTAAAGAAGCTTTAATAATTAGTACAGATGTACTTTTTGTGCTACTTAACGAGGCAGTTCATCAATTTGCATAAGAAGTACAGTTTTGTTCAAGTTTCTTCATAAAGTTCCTTCTCACTAGCATTTGTGTTTTTCAGTTAGTAACTGTTCCTTGTGTTACAACTTGCACACTTCTGGTTTACAATATAAATTGTTACATACGTGTTCCACAATAATCCTGTAAATTTTTTCAGGAAGCAGTTTTACAAGAGACAATGCCTACACTTAGAAAGAAACCCTACATTTGGGTTGTAGGTTAAAAAGGGAATTGGGAAAGCCATGTTGAAAAAACAAATTCAGAAAATCAGCAGTAGAGGATTAGCGATAGGTCTGGCCAGGCAGCTGAGTAAAGAATGTGATGATATATCAAGATGTATCAAGATGAGTATTCTACTTTTAAAATGTTCTAATAATCATGGTAAGGAAGTTATTATTAAAGAAAATGAAATTAAATGTATTGGGGATACCTCTGTATGTTTCTTCCTACCTGCTACTTCCTTCATTCTTCTCTCTCCATGAGAGTACTCAAGTTAGTCGTCTTAATACGTTTGTTGTTGTAGAAAAGGAACCGTTTGCTGTTTTGCTCTTTTGTGTATATTGTCTTCCTTTGAAGCAGGTGATATTCAGGGAGCAGAACCAAAGCATTTTTTTCTGATCATTTGGGCAGAGGCTGGCTTTTATCCCTCTGTTTTTCTCTCTCTGTTGTTTTATAGTTGAACTGAATCATCAGTTTTTTTAATATCTTCAGGTACACTTCCACTCAGAACTAGGATACAAATTTTTAAACTGCCTCTGTCACTCAAAAATCAAATAGGCCTTGGGATGTTGAAAATTGTGTTGTTTATTAAAAAAAAAAAAAAAAAAAAAAAAGCAAGAGAGGCAGAAAGACAATAACTGATAGTTTATTTTCCTAAAGGACTTCCTGCAGCATTTTCACTTCTGTCCTGCAGAGAGGTGGGAGATTGCTCTTGTCTTGTGTAGGTATTTCCATGCATATGAATTGCCAACCACTTTGAATTTGAGATGACTGCCCCTAGAACTCTGGAATGTGAGGTGTGTTTTTAAGACCCCAGAATCCTTTCTTTCTCAGTGTCTAGGGTATTTGGGGAACACATTTCCAGAGCTATCCTGGGGCCTTCTTGCTGTGGGCCTGGCAGCTTCTACTGTGTACCGTGGAGCGTAGGAATATGGTGCTCAAGCAAGGGACTCAGATGCCTGGGTTTGGACTTGGTTTTAAACCTGCCTAGAGAAGTGACTGCAGTGGAGAGAAGAATTTGCCGTCACAGTTGTCCATATGCTAGTCCTGGAGCCAGTGAATATGTTACTTTATGTGGGGAAAGGGACTTTGCAGATACGGTTAAGGAAAAGATCTAACGATGGGAAGATTTGCTGGATTGTCTGGGTTGGCCCAGTGCAATCACAAAGGCCCTTAGAAGAGGGAGGCAGGAGGGTCAGAGAAGGAGCTATCATGGCAGAAGGAGAGGTCAGAGTAGTGCAAGAAGAGGCCCCCAGCTGAGGGATACAAGTGGCCTCTAGAAGCCAGAAGGGTGAGGAAGCCGATTCTGTCCCAGAGGGAACGCAGCCTTGCTGACCCCTTGATTTTAGCCCAGTGAGACCCATTCAGGACTTCTGGCCTCCAGAACTGTAAGATAATAAATCTGTGTTGTTTTAAGCCACTAAATTTGTGGTGACTTGTCACAGCGGTAGGAAACTTATGTAGTGACCTTGGGTAAATTCCTTAAACTTTGAGCCTATATTTCTCCATCTTTTTCTTTTTTTTTTTTATAATAGCTTCTTTGAGATATATTTTTGCATATCATAAAATTCCCCCATTTCAAGTGTACAACTTAGTGGCGCTTGGTCACTTTTCTGAGTGATGTAACCATCACCAAATCAGTTTTGGAACTTTTACACCTGCCGTAAGACCCCTCATGTCTACTTCACAGTTAACCCGACCTCTAGGCAGCCATTAATCTACCGTCTTTATAAATCTTCCTTTTTCTGATACTGTGTAGAAATAGAACCATACAGTATGTGGCGTCCTGTGTCTTTCTTTTTTTCCCCACTTTGACTGACATTCCTTTATGTCTAACGGACGTTATAGCAACACCCTCCTCCTAGGATTGTTGTGAGGATTAAATCAGATTGTGAATTCAAAGTGCTTTGCATAGTGTCCAACACATAGTAAGTGTTCAATAAAAGTTCTTTTTCTACCACTTCTACGACTTATTATTCTTCCTGTTGCTTTCTTCAGGTTCCCGAAAAAATTCACAAAAATATATTTTGACACACAGTGCTACTGTTGCTTTTCTACTCTTATTTATGTTGTGAGTAATGTAGATCTTACTTATGTGTTAAATTGATTTTGGAGGGTGATGTCAGAACCTAAATACCATGCTTACTTTTTTTTTTTCAATAGGTTGAATATTTTATTATTAAACTGTTTATTTTCCTGCAAGGCTGTTGCTTCACTGTCTAAAAGGACACCGGCAAACACAGAATATTTGCAAAATTAAGGTAGGAACGGTCTTCATCGGACACTGTACAACTAACAAACTTCTCCAGTGCCACTCGTTTCCAGCGGGAGGATCGTTGAGTATTTTGACCCAAACCAGGGGTGGCTGTAAGCAAATTACAATATTATATAAGGCAATGTTATCCTTGAATTACATAATTTTTATAACTAGTTTTACCACAGATAATTTCAGGAATCCTGAATATTATAACTGGAGACTAACCTAAAAATCACAGGGTGCTGTGAAAAAGGTGCAGAGCATTTATCTGAAGTCATGAGGAAGTTAAGGGGTATTTTCTTCAGGAAACATGGTTGCAAGTAGTTTGTTTTGCCAAAAGTTGCTTTTTAAAAATCTATCCACCCCTAACTTAAGACGACTATGCTAGATTAAGTTGTTCCAAAGTAGTTTATTTAGGGGTTCCATTTTCACCCCTCAATAAATAAGTATTTCTCATATGCTTCTTCGCTCATTCGTTCATCTCGCTCTGAAGGGTTCCTCCGTGTCATCTTGATCAGCCAACCCTCTGCATAACAAGATTTGTTGACAAGTCGTGGATTTTCTGCTAGAGCTTCGTAAATGTCAGTTACTTCTGTTAGAGGAGAATAGAGTTCACTAGACGCTTTCACACTTTCCAAAGCACCAGATTCCTCTTGTTGGTCCAATTCTGTCCCAACTTCAGGCAGACTACAGTAAACGACATCTCCCAAAGCTTCCTGTGCAAAATTGCCGGTGCGCACGGTTCCAGCACCGCTTTCTGTTGTTACGCGTTCGTGCTGGTCTGAATTTCCGCAGCGACAGCAGAGCGGGGCCGGTGCGCAGCCCCCAAGGCCTCCGGGCAGGGTGCCGCTGGCTCACGGCGCCCTGTCCTCCGGGCCACGCTTCCTCTCTCCTTTCCTTATGAGACATTTTGTTCTGTATTCTAGGTGACTGATTTGCAACGCGAATTTTTAGAGCACAGTTGTGTACTACTTGGGAACTGCCTGTATGCAGATAGATTATGTGCGTGTTCTGAACTTGCCTTGAAATTAAGAGAGGGCTTTTACCTGCTGCTCTGCTGCCACCAGCATTGAAAGGAAAAAGACTGAGCAGCGTCCAGTCTTCAGAAACTCTTTGTGAAAGTCACAAATCTGTGAGGGGTATTAAAGAAGCACTTTGGAGTTTCTTTAATTTTGACTGGCAGACCAGTATCCTGATGGGATCTGAATCAAGAAAATCAGAGCCAGAAAAGAAGAAAATGGTGGTGATGGGAAGAATGAGTAACAACTGCTATGTTTACAGCTGTCGTAGCATTTTGAACATGCTTCTGCTTTGCGGCCCCTCTTGGGTAGCTGTTTTAGCCTGTTGACATTTGCTTCTTCCTGACTCCTCCCGGGATTCCACTTGTAAACTTCTTTAGGGCAGGAATCCCATCTCCCCATCTCAGAAGTGTCAGTGCCTTGCCTAGCTTCCCATACTTTGGTGGATGGATAAATGGTTGGATTTACGGATGGATGGATAGCTGACAGTTTAGTGCTTAGAAAAAGTATGGTAGCTCTTCTTGGACACTAGCGTTCCCCTGTGTTCCTCTGGACTGCCCAAAAGAAACAGATAAGAGGAGTTAAGTTAGTTCATGGTCGTGAATCAGTTTTCATTTTTGCTACTCATAAAGTATTTACCTTTTCTGAAAATCAACAAAATGCTTTGGCTGAAGTCTACAGAAATACACAGTAGCTCATAAGGTTTTATGTGTTGTACGAACTAAGTTGTCTTGTTTTGGCTTCTCTTAAGCCCCACTTTGGCTTAGTTGTAGGTAGATCAAATAAATCCAGCAAGTCTAGCATTCTATTTTTTAACTTTTGTGTTTATGTTATTTCCAAACATTTTGGCTCACTTTGGTTGGGTTAAGGCTGACTTAAGAATTTGTGCGTTATTCTTATTCCATTCTTTCTTGTCCCGCTGTTTAAACCCTTGGTTGCTGTTTAACACTTCTATGTAGAAAGAGGCAAGGCACGATAGCCAAGAGGTAGAAGCAACCCAAGCATCCTTCAGTGGATGAATGGATAAACAAAATGTGGCATATACATACAAGGGAATATTCAACCTTAAAAAGGAAGGATGTTCTGTCGTTTGTGACAACATGAGTGAACTTAAAGGACATTACGCCCATGTGAATACATACCTTAAAGGACATTATGCCCATGTGAAATAAGCCCACAGCAAGATAAATACTTGTATGATTACACTTACGTGACGTATTTAAAATAGTCAAATTCATAGAAACAAAGTAGAATGTTGGTTGCTAGGGGCTGGGGGGACAGGAAGAGGGGAGTTGTTACTGGCTATAGAGTTTCAGTTTTGCAAGATGAAAGTTTTGGAGATCTGTTTCACAACAATGTGGGTATACTTATACTGAACCTCTACACTTAAAAATGCTTAAGGCGGTAAATTTTACGTTACGTGCCTTTACGACAATTTTTAAAAAAGAAGAGGAAACAAGGAGTTAAGATTTGAGTTAGTCACGTTTGCTACTTGAAGAAACTTCTGAAGTATTCAGTGGGCTAAAGGCTTAGAATAAAGCACATGTATCTACACGTAGTCCAGAATAAAAGAAGAATAAGATGGTCATCTTCTTTACATTTTCACCATGTTTTAGTTAGGATTCGTGAGACTCTTGTCAGTTAATAGCTAGACTGCTGTCAGATACCATGAAGCTGGGCATAATATTGAAACAGCTCCTTTCAAACTATTATAAGGATGATTTTGAGACTCTGAGAGGTTTTCTTACTCTTTTGGTAACCAGTGTTATGTACTCCTACTGGGTCCTGAAAAGGGATTGATACTGGAGTAATGAAGGATTCAAGTTTTACTTTTATTTTCAGTAACATTACAGGATGAGCTCTTGGTAAAGACCATATGTTTCTTGGTATTTATTTCCCTGAAGGCCTTGCCAGTGTTTCTTTAGCCCATTTGGAAGCATTCCAGTTGTTCCAACCCAGGCATTATCTAGATTGAACATGGCTGCTTTTGCCTATAACTTGCTGATTTGGGGAGTATCTCTTCCCATTGGAGATGAGATGCATCATAAATGCTATTTATTCTGATGCTGACAGTAACAACATTTGGGTATATTCTTTACACTATATTTTATACTATACACTGCAAGCATATGTGGTACATTTATATACAAAGAGGAAATTAATTTTTTTTGGTGCCATTGACAATTTTTTTTTTTTTTTTTTTTTGTGGTACGTGGGCCTCCCACTGTTGTGGCCTCCCCTGTTGCGGAGCACAGGCTCCGGACGCGCAGCCTCAGCGGCCATGGCTCACGGGCCCAGCTGCTCCGCGGCATGTGGGATCTTCCCGGACCGGGGCACGAACCCATGTCCCCTGCATCGGCAGGCGGACTCTCAACCACTGCACCACCAGGGAAGCCCGACACTTAATTTTTTCCCAGCTATATTGAGATGTAATTGGCACATAACATTTGTAAATTTAAGGTGTACGATTTGTTGATATATTTAAATTTTTCAAAATCATTACCACCATAGCGTTAGTTAACACCTCCATCACGTCACATAATTACCATTTTTTTGTGGGGAGAACAGATAAGATCTACTTTCTCAGCAACTTTCAAGTATATAATACAGTATTTTTAACTATAAACACCAAGCTGTCCATTAGATCCCCAGAACTTATTCACCTTATAACTGAAAAGTGGAAAGTAACTTTTAATTAAATTGAAAGTGAACTGTAAAGACCAGTTCTGCTTCTTGGAGTATGCAGATTTTTTAGTTCTTAGCCGTGTGTAGTAGTAGCCTCTGTTGGAAATTCAAGATGATTTGGACAGACTGCCTGCCCTTAAGATACAGTGTAATGGAGAGAAATACCTTCATAGCAAATTATGATACAAAACAGACACTTATAAATGCTGTGATAGAAGATGAAATGAATTTCGTGAGAATAAGGAAGAGGCAGCTAATTTTGATGGAGGTGGAGGCCACAGCTTAGTTGAACCCTAGAAGATAAATAGACTTTACTAAGTGAAGAAAGAGAGGAAAGACATTCCAGGAAAAACATACATCATGAGTAGAAGCTCTGAGGTTGAAGATGTGTTGTTATGTCACAGGACCCGAAGGAGCAGGGGAGGAAATGATGAAAAATGACTAAAAGTGACATGAGCCATTCAAGTTGCTACCATTCTGATCCTAATCACTTTCGGTGGGTATAAAGTTTATAACCAAGCCCAGGACCAGGAGTGATAGTTCCTGCTCCATGAGAAGTTTCTGTAGGTAAGGCCGTGAAATTAACCCTTTAAATGAAAACTGAGATTTTTTCCCCTCCTGCTTTAAAATGAGAACTGGTGGTAAAGTTGAGTTTCTACAAAATCCCCCATGTTTTGTTAATGTTGGTAGAACTCACATGCATACCTGCTCTTCTGTCCAGTCACTGGTGTTCTAAAGCCAACGGGAGTCTACACTCACCTCACCTCATCAGTGTACTTCTTCGGAAAAGTACAATTACAGAAATGGAAGAGATCCAAGATACCATTCAGGACAAAACTCAGATTCTGAAAATGAGAAAGTTTCCAGAGAGGTTCAGTGCCCAGGTGACAATGTAATAAATGGCAGCAGCAGCTCAGGGGCGCCGTTGCTCTGGCTGTCAGCCCACGGTCCCTGCCACTTTCCAGCACAGCAGAGGAATGGGCAGAGGGCTTCCACCTCTGTGCGTGAGCCCCGCTTCCCTCTGTATGTCTTGTCACGTTTCAGCTCTTCTGTCTAAAGCAGGTTATCTGAAACGCCGTAGATAACCCTAGCTGCTCCTGGGTCTAACAATTTAACAACGTGAAGGGAGTTATTAGCCCGTTGCTATTGATATGCTGTTTTAACATCAGCCTCATCCTTGTATAAAGATGGGAGTCATGGAAGATTTCAGTGAGATTTTGAATTGGGGCACTCCTCTTCACCCAGAATCTGTTAGATCCTTTCTGATTGCGAGCCTTTCGGACAAACAATATCTTTGAGACACCAACACTTAATCTCTGTTAATTCTGGTAGTGGTTTGGAAAAACCCCATCTACCTTTGCCTATACCTCAGTTTTCTCCTCGCCTCTAGACTACTGACAGATTTTCTATAAGATACTTAAGGACGTATTTTGTTTTAATATAACACGGCAAATGTTTTGAAAACTCTTGGAAATGACAATAACAATATCCCGATCTTCATTTTAAGGATATCAATTTCTATCTGATATTTATCATTGTAGGTTTAATAATAACTATCCTTAATAACAGTCAGTTGTTACTTTTTCACTGTTTTGGTTGAAACCATGTATCTAAAATAGATTGAAACATATCGAGTAATCCATTATAAATTTTTTAAAAATTAGTTATCCCGCTAAGTGATTGGGAACTCAGTTACCAATCGATCATCTGGATATTTTAAAACCTCTAAATAATTGATGTAAATTTTTCTAATTTATTTAAGACATTGATTATTATATAGACATGGTTGGGTAATTGTTGATATAGTAGACTAGAATTTTCATTTAGGAAGTTTTATGTTCTATTAGTGCTTTTAAGTAGAAAAGATTAACTCATCAATTGAATTAATAGTAAATGGTATTGTTTATAAAATCTGCAATATGAGAAGGAAAAAATGGAAGCTGAGATACATAATATAAATTGAATACCTGGAAACACCAACATCTTAGTTCTTAAGAAGGGAAGCATTGCCAGGGAGGTGGGTGGAAGGGCTGCAGGTACAAAAACGATTCTGGAAAATTTTGTTTCCATTGCCTCACCTCAATTCCAAGAAGCATTAGTAGCTTTATTATTATTATTATTATTTTGATGACGACCATTCTGACTGGTGTGACGCGATACCTCACTGTAGTTTTGATTTGCATTTCTCTAATGATTAGTGATGTT